TTTTTATGCCATTCATTCTTTTGTATACTTGTTCATTTGTGAATCACTTTAGTTCCCACCCTTTTTGTGAGGTAGCTTTCCATTGTTCACATATGTTGGAGACCACAATTCTTGTTTTAACTGGATTTTATTATGCTTAATCTTTTGTTTGTGTTGATTGTATGAAAGCTTGAACATGATCAAGGCATTTTTTTGGTTCCATTTTAAGCACAACTACGTATTCAAATAGTTAATTGACCTTGTGAGTGTGTGATCATTAGTAACCCCTTTGAGCTTTTTGTCGATATCCATGTTGTATTTGCTAAATATTTGTCTATGAGTGTTTAGTTTCCCTTTTTGTATGAATACTGATTCCTTGTTTTCTTGAACCCTTAACTACGATTTATAGTTGAATTTTTACCTTGCCTTAGAAAGTAGGGAGTATTCATATTATGATGATGGTTGAATTCAAGTTGGGGAGAGGAATGCTTATGTGCTTATGTTGTGATTGCTATGAGATTGAAAAAGAAAAGAAAAAGAAAAGAAGAAAAAAAGTGAAATAGAAAAGATAGAAAAAGAAAGGAAAAAAAATAGAAAAGTTTTGATAAAGAAAAACAAAAAGAGTATGGAATAATGTTGTGTTGAATAAGTGATGTGTGTTGGTTTGAAAATTGGGATGAAGAAGAAGTTTGATTGAAATTCTATTATTTGAAATTTTGTGGAAGTAATTACTCCCTTAGGTTTAGGCAAATTTTTGTTTCGATCAGCTTTAAGACTTATCACTTGTTTGTTAACCAAGCCATAATACAACCTTTAAAAGCCCTTGAGACTCTTGCTTTTATATTTTCAACGTAAATTTTTGGATGAATGTATAATTTAGTCTATTGTTTGCAAGATTGTTGGATGAGTGAAAATACCCTCTTTTTGTGTGTTTTTCATCTACCGATGATTATGTTTGCTAGATGTGATTCATTTGTGACCATGTATTGTTTTAGAATGTTTGACATATTCTTTGTATTTAAGATGTGTTTCATGTTTATGTTATTGTTGTAGTTTAGTGGTAAGTATGTTTCTTCGTGTGTACCGTTTTTCATTTGAACCACTGCATTTGTTTTTCGTTTTCAAAACCTGTTGATTCGTGATTCTTTGATTTATCATTCTTTGTTCTTTATTTTATTTGACTTTGTATGAGGATAAACAATAGTTTAAGTTGGGGAGAGTTTGATAAGTGCAAATTATAGCTCTTTTTGTATATACTTTTTGTTGCACTTATCGACTTTTTATTGTTAATATCATTGAATAAACCTGACTTTTGTATAAATACATTTAGTTTATGTTTATTTATGTTTTCATGTATAAAGTGTATCGTTTGATAGTTTTCCATTCATTTTATAGGTATTGATGCGTATTTGGAGCATGAGCAATAAAGTATCGAAGACACGATTTTAAACGCGCGATTTTGAGCAACTCGTCAACGAATAAGGCTCAAAATCAAAGAAATAGAAATCATCAATTTGGTTTATATTTTGTCATTGTTATAAGGATAATTGAATAAGCTTTCCGACGCTTCAAATCAGGTGCGAATCAGAGTTACGGTTCAAAAGTCATGGCCGAAACAGTGCAGGATGTTGTACTGATTTTTCAACTTGCTGTCATCTTTTGTCGGGGGAAACTTTTGGTCGTCGGGCGATGCTAGGCGAGCTGCAGCATGGAAAAATGCTGTTTTTGGTCGCCGAACGAAAAAATTTGTCATTGGGCGATCTTGGACAGTTAGAAATGCGTATTTAAGGCCAAAAACACATTTTTTGGGTATGGTTTTGGGTGTTTTTTATCCCAACTCCATCAACCTTCATTTTTGGATATGATTAGCTTAGAAAACAACATTGAAGCTTGCATACGGATGATCCGGGGTGGATTGCTCATCAATCGATGCTAACAAACCGGGAGATTTGTGGTTCATTTCTCTTCCTCTCTGTGTATTCTTTATGTGTTGAGTTTGTACATGTATTTACTCTAAACTTATGTATATTTGTCACCCACAGCGTTATATAAAACTTGCTTTACAAATCTTTGTGGATTGTTATCTTACATTTTTGCTCTATGCTAGGGATTTAAGTTGTTATAGACATATACTGCTTAGATTCTTATCTAGGATGATTATCTGTTAGTCTTTGAACTCTAGAGATAGATTTAGAGATGACATCTACTTGGGTATGAGAGGTTAATGCCTCTGTGTGGTTGTGTTGTACTGAGAGATCGTCAGTACGATTATATAGTTGTCTTCTATGTTGTTGAGGAGGTAGAGAGATCATTTCCTTGGTGATACAGTCGGTCTCTCGATTTGGGTTAGAAATGACTTAGGTTGTGAGTGATACGTAGTGACATTGATAAGTATTGTTAGGTTGAATGTAAATGGTCGATAGATTTAAGTCAGTGATGAGTAGATTATATGCAGGCTTGATAAGTTTTTCCTTAGTTTTTACTTTTGTTTAGATTTATTTTCTGTTAATAACATTTTCCATACAAAACCCATTTAAAACCAAACTCATAAACGCGAGATTTGTCGAACGACAATTCAATAACCAATCTTTGTGGACACGATAAATTCTCGAATAAATATTTCCAAACCTTTTTTGCTTGCCGCTACACCGCTACCAACAACTGAACACCTTTTTTATCTTCTTTTCCCTTTCGATAGTTTCATCCTCCTCCTCCTCCTCTCGAGAATTCAGAAGCTCTATCTTTGACCTGATGTTTGTGAGGTTTCAACCAAGACTTCTTGCCCCGAGTCTTGTAAAACTTGCCTTTGAATTTGTTGGAACCACCATCCTTTTTTCATGACTGAGCTTGCATATCCTGTATCGAGTTTTGAACTCCATTCCTTTCGACAATCCTCATCTCATGCGCCTCCAACGAACCAACCAAATCTTCCTCTTTAGTGGTTTCAAGATTGTTGGACTCTTGAATAACTACGATAACGTAATCAAAGTGAGAGGTCAAAATTCTCATTACCTTCTCAACTATCATCTTATCAGTTATAGTTTCACCACAACCCTTCATGAGATGGACGAGTTTTTGAGCCTTCAATACATATTCCATAACTTTTTCATCTTCTCCCTTCGAGAAAAACTCATATTGTCGACGCAAGATTTGTAACTTGACAACCTTGAGTTTCTCACCTCCTTCGTAATACTTCACTAGAATATCCCATACCTCCTTCGCCGTTTCAGTTTGAGAGATTTTGTCGAAATTAACAGCATCAATCACCGTCTGAATGCAATAAACAGCCTTGCAATCTTTCTTCTTGACTTTGTTGTGGGCTTTTTTTTGTTCATGGGTTGCATTTGCAGCCAACGCAGGAACGTTGTTGGTAACCACTTCTAGGATTTCATGGAAGTCAAACAAGGATTGCATCAGTTTTTTTCCATCGGATCCAATTCTTGCCGTCTAGCATTGGAAGAGAATTCAGAATGCCCGTATCACTAGTCATCTTCGCAGCGGTTGATTCACTTGTCATAGAAACACGATCTTTGACGTGAAATTTTTAAAAACTCGATCAAGAACAATAATCGGGAGCTCTGGATACCAGTTTGTTAGTGCGTGAGGCATTTTAGTGAGGAGAGAAAGATGTAATAATAAAAGAAATAAAAATTTATATTATTTAAATTGTATATAATCTTAACTGGACTTGAATCTACACAACTTAAATTATACTTAAATATTAAATACAATTAAAACTAATATAATCTAATATTTTAATAAATCTAATTTAATATTTTAATATTTCTCACATCTCTTAGAACAGTTTAAAAAACATGTCTATTTCCATTGGTGATAATTCAATTGGAAAAATTATGCTTAAAACCAAACTTGCTTAGAACTTTGAGAATGAAATGTCACTCAGAGATCTCAAATGATTTCTTAATATCAAATCTCAATGTCATGTTACTGCCAAAAGTTTTATTGTCCAATAAGTTAATTGAATATATATATATCATTTGGTGTTCTAATATTATTTTGGGAGTTATGGTGATTAGTCTATCAGCAATAATTTCGGTTATGATTTAGGGCTAGGAATTAGGGCCAAATAAATTGGATGAAGGTTAGGTAAAATCCAGTTTTGGTCAAAGAAGTGAGTGACCGAAGCACCACATCCTCCCTTGCAGTGTCCTATTTCTTTCCGTTTTTATTATAAGAAAAAAATTTATTATTTAAATATATCAAATAATAAATATATCTAGATTATATAAAGACTAAATATATTGATTATTTTATATATTTAAAAATGAATTTTTTTATACTAAAGACCAAGGAAAATATTATACTAAAAAATAACGTTCATATTTATTAGATCTTAGGTTTTGTAACAGAGTTATCGCATATACAAACAATAGTTTTCTTAATTTCTTAAGGTAAAGAGATATTCGGGTTATAAAAACACTATTTGCTAAATTGAATTAATTTGATAAATATAAATTGATATAAATTATATTTTTATTCATATTTACTACTCAATCTCCTAAATAAATTTTTATTTATTTAGTACTCAATCTCCTAAATAACTTTTTATTTATTAAAATCACAATGAAATGGAGTATAAGAAAAGAATAAGACAAAAGAACAATACACACATGATTTTGATCCAGCTAAGTAACTAAAATTCTTTGTCAGAAAGTATAGGTATGAGTCATAATTCATAAAGAACATTAAGTAGTCAATACTTTTTCATCTAATGTACTAATCCGTACACCCTAATATCACCAATTAACATCCTAATCTTCCTAATCTAGTGTGAACTCAAAGACTTATTTTCACCCACCTTTTCTATTCTAAAATCATTGACAATGACCCTTTTTCTTTTCACATTGAATCTTTCCTCACACACCCCTTTTCTTTAATTTTCAACCATCACATTATCATTGACCATTGTCACACCCCACATTCATAAAGTTTCAATTTTTCCTCACACACTAAAATTTCATCACACCCAAATTCCAAAGCTCCAAACTTTCTAAGTGAAAATGGCCAAACAAGAAATTTCAAAACAAGGGTGTTTCTCTAGTTTCTTCAAAGTGCTTCTTTGTGCTAGAAATGAAACTAGTCCACCAGTGTATCCATCTGAAAATGTTGAAGAAAAAAAATATGATTTTTTTGATGATTCTAATTCTATAACCACTCCTAGTGTAGTAGCTAGGTTAATGGGATTAGATTCACTACCAAAAACCAAAAGGGTTGTTAGAGAAACAACCTTAGATTGTGTTCCTAGAAGTAAATCAGTTAACTTTGTTGATTACTTGCTTGAGTTTGATCAAAGCATTGGAAACCATCGTAGAGTGAAAACTTCATCATCTTTTAGAGAAGTTCCTTCACAAAAAAATTACCTTTTTGTCCTTGATATTGATGATAAAAAGGGTAATAAAGTCCAAGAAGAAAATGTTACTAAGTTGAAGAAAAAGAACAAGGAAATTGTGAGAGTGAAGAAAGAGAAAAACAAGAGAGTTTATAAGATAAAAGATGAACCAAGAAAAGTTCCTTCTTCTAGGTATAAATCTAAGGTTAGAGATTGTAGAAAAGGTGAAGTTTTTTCAAGTGTTTCTCCTAGGTGTAATTGTGGTTATTATGGTTATGGTGATGTTGGTTCAAGTTCAAGTTCAAGTTCAGTTTCTCCATTGCCAAAAAGTAGGATTAAGAAAGGGTTTGTTGAACCAAAAATGAGGAACAAGGTGAGTAAGAATCATGTGTCAACAAAGAAGATTCAGACAGAACATAGCTTGGAAAATCTTAGTCCTATTTCTGTTCTTGATGTTAATGATTATGCCTTTCTTTATGGAGCTGATTATTCAGGTTTGCTTACTTAATCTCTTGCTATATTATGTTTTTTTTATGAATAATTTTTTTTTGAAAATTTTATTGTTGGAACAAAAAATATTTTTAGATGAAGTAACTTATGGACTAATGTGCTTTGAAATTTTTAATTAAAAATTATTTTTATATTTATTACTTTTTATATAAATTGTTCGATTCCTAATTTATAGATACAGTGTTAGTTTGCTTTATATTTTTGAAAGAGACAATTTTTTTAATTAAAATTTTAAAAGTGTAAAATATTGATTTTGTTAGTCTTAATGGTCAAAATAAAATTGTTTATATTTTTTTAATTCATTATACTTAATGTTAATGTGATTTTACACTAAAATTAAGTGTTAAATTTAGTTTTACATAAATATATTCAAAAATAAATTATTCTATTTTTAATTAAATTTAAATTATTTTTATATATAATTTATTGAACGACAATTATATTTGAACATGTATAATTCTTTAGATACGATTTTTATTATTTTTCAATAAAAAATATAATAAATATACTTAAATGTTTAAAGAAATGAAAATAAAAATAATTTATATGCATAAAAAATTATATATCTGTCACATTTTTATTAAAAAATAATAAGAATTTTACTTCAAAAATTATACCTAAATTTTATCTTTAGTATTTATCACCGTAGAAATAAACACTTCTAATTTGATTGATAAATTTATTTTATTTTTAAATTATATTTGTTTGCTAGTGGCTAAAACAAAGGATGACATTTAAATAACATTAATAAACATAATAAAATGAATTAAATTTTTTTTAAAATGTTAAAAAAATAAAACTATTGAATAAAATATATTTAGATGAAATGTTTGAATTTAGTCGCAAGAATTATTAAAAATTTTGAAAAACAATTTTACAGTTAATTGTAATTTTAGTTTTTTTTCTTTTCATTTTTAATCAATTAGTTCAAGGATTGAAATTTCACCTTTAAAGTAAATAAATGATATATTGCCGGGTCAAACTTGTGCAAAAAGAGTGTATTATTTAGAGAAAATAAATAAAATACCGACAATTTTTACACTAACAATCAATTACAATCATATATTTAATTATATTTTTGGTTGAATGTATGAATATTATTTTTTATTATTTATTAAAAAATATTTCCAAGCATTTAATCATCGATGTAATTGTAACCTCTATATGAATTTATAACCTCTATATGTCTGCAATAATGAGAGCATAGAGTACTTTTCAAGACACATTTTTGATTAAAAAAGCATTTACTTCATAGTAAATAACTGGCCCTCCAAACTGAGTATAGGTACAAACACCTTGGCTTCAAAGTCAAAGAGGAAATCTAAGTCTTTATTGGAAGTGTCCTTGGATGAAGATGTTGAAGAGAAAGCAAACAATAATAAAGGTTATGCCTCCCACACTGACATCAACAGAGAAGCAGAGTTGTACTCAGACTTGATGTTGAAGATTCGTAGTTTGACAGAAGAGTGTATCAACAAGTCAGATTCCACATATAAGGCTGAAAGCTTTGAGGAAATTTGTTTCGTGTTTGAAGAAACTATTTTTGATACTTTGTTATTTGAGGTCTTAAATGAACTTGTATAATTTCTTTTCTTAAAGATAATGTAGATTTTTTTTGGGTTTCTTTTAACCTTTACTTCTAAAGTAATAGAGATTATCATAATGTGGAGCTCGGATCAGAGTTATGTAAAAATTGGTTAAAAGTTAATTGAGTTAGAATTTGAATTTGATTTTTATAACTTTCATATTATCATCTTTATGTATAAACATATATAGATATAGTAACTATTGAATTATTTTATTGGAAACCGATTACAATTTATGTTAAACTTCACCTTTTTACCTTCTTTCTTTCAATTGATCTTCAGGATAACAATATCTTGATAGTAACACTCTAAAACTTCCGCGTAATTATTAAATAAAATTCGAAGGAATTTAAAATATTTCAATACTCGGATTTTATCTTCATACATACATATGTTCAACAATATGAAATACGCAACACATTTATGAAAACATAAAACTACATGTACTTCATATTTGAAAAATCTTTCAATTATTCGCAGTGAAAAACATCAATAACAATTATTTTCAACCCTTCAACAAGAGTGACAAACATCATCTTTCAAAAATTCAACATAAAACAATGCTTAAATCTAACAAATAAAGTTTTACAAAAATTTACTCCTAACATAAACAAAACAAGCGCAAAATCTCCAAGTATTACGTATCAGAGCTGACACCGACTCAATCTACGTAAAATGAGGCAACTCCTCATCTAACTTCGACCTCAAGCTACTTCGGAACATCTGCATGTTACTCATGTAGGGCAACATTCAAACAGAAGAGGTGAGATATCATAACAATATAAGAGAAAACATAATAACGAGTAAATAGCAATTCAAGTACGCATAATTATACTTCTTTACCTCACACATTTTCTTCATTCATCGTACCACAAGGTACACCAATATACAATCAAATACGCAAACAACACATAACATCCATCATGATATAATTCATACTTGTTCAACATCCAAAAACATCAAATTATTAATAATAATGTAATACAATGAGACTTGTTAATCAGGAAATAATCAAACACATTTATTGTGAATAATTTACATTCATAGAATAGGAAATTGTCATTATAAGTTGTAATTAGTTATTATGAGTTGTAATTAGTCATTATGAGTTGTAATTACCGACACTGTTATATAGAGTATCAAATGCAATGAGAAAGACATCAAGCCATAATTCATGACATGGTATCAGAAGGGTTCGATCTAACCTGTGAATCCTTGTTCTCTTGGCTGAATAACGACACCCCACTGGGTCGCTCTTGAAATCGTGTTTCTTGTTTGTATTTCTCGAAATCTGAAATCTTTCAATTGCCGTTTCGTGATTTCTTCATTGTTGTTGCTTCGTGATCTTGATTCCGTATTTATCGCACGTTGTTTCGGTGATCGTTAATCATTTGGTGCTGCTAACATATTGTGCTTTGCGATTCTGTTTCGTATTCTCGGTGATTCCGCTTGGTGATCGTTGTTCTTGGTGATTCTGTTCGGTGATCGTGGTTTCATTGTTGAATTGTTGGCGATTTCTAGATCGTGGGTGTTTCTTCACCGTTCGTTAGCTACTGCGTGGTTTCCTGGTTTAGCTACCGCGTGGTTTCCTGGTTTGCTTCCCATTGTTTTACTATTTATTTAATTGGTATTATTAAATAAATTGGTTGCACGTGCACACTAGGTTTGAATTTATCCTGTTTATTTAACAATACGAAGGGGTTATATCTAATGGCAATGGAAAATGAAAAGAATTTTTGTGTCTGTTTTACCGGCAAGAATTATTCTGCATGGGAATTTCAGTTCAAGATGTATGTTAAAGGAAATGGATTATGGAGTCATTTAGATGGTGTTTCTAAGGCACCGACAGAGAAAACTGGTTTAGATGCATGGGAAACTAAAGATGCTCAAATCATCACTTGGATTCTCAACAGTATTGATCCTCACATGATCAATAACTTACGCTCTTTTTCAACTGCTCAAGAAATGTGGAATTATCTAAAGCGCATTTACAACCAGGGCAATTCGGAAAAACGTTTTCAGTTGGAGTTAGAAATAGCCAACTACAAACAAGGTGATTTGTCTATTCAAGAATATTATTCTGGTTTTTTAAATCTCTGGGCAGAACACTCTGCTATTATACATGCTAATGTTCCCAAGACCTCTCTCGCGGCTGTTCAAGAGGTTTACAACACAAGTGGTCGAGATTAATTTCTCATGAAATTACGCCCAAAATTTGAGGTTGTCAGAGGTGCCTTGCTGAATAGGAATCCTGTTCCTTCTTTAGATACATGTGTTGGAGAACTCCTAAGGGAGGAACAACGTCTTATTACTCAAGGAGCCATGTCTCATGATGCTACCATTTCCGAGCCCGTGATGGTTGCATATGCTGCTCAAAGTAAAGGTAAAAATCGTGATATGAAACAGGTTCAGTGCTTCTCTTGCAAACAATTTGGTCATATTGGTCGTAGCTGCAATAAGAAGTTTTGTAATTACTGCAAGCAACAGGGTCATATTATCTCTGAGTGTCTATTTCCAGTGATTTCTGGTAAACAACCGCTAGTCTTCCAAACTATCGAATAAACTTACTGACTGTTATTCAATTTCTCTGGTAACTCACAGGATCGACTAGATTGATCCTAGGATTCCTTGGTCATTAGGGTAACTCTCATGATCGAACAAATATTCATGGTTGATATTTGAGTGTTATATAGGCGTTTGGCTTATTTAAGTCAAAGACCATAACTTGATATTGGTAAATCAAAATGACATGGGACCAAAGACATTGGTTAGAGGACTTCAAGACCTTTCCAAAATGTCCAAGAACATGTTCATAGCTTCAAAATTGAGCAAGATATGCATTGGAGAAGTTGGGAAATTTTTGTGAAATAGCCAAAGGCAATTATCCTTGAAATTTCATTTTTGACAAAAGGGGCCCACTTTTTCCACTTGTTTCAGCTTGGCCATGCTTCCCACGTGTCCCACAAATTATTTCAAAATTTAAAATTAATTTTTTCATTTTTACTTAATTTTATTGGATTTAATGCATTTTAAATCTTTTAAAATCAAATAAAATTAAAAAGGTTAATTAAAGGGAATATTTTGCATTGAATAACTTTGAACCACCATTATACACATCCAAAATTCATGCCAAGGCCTAATCAAGCAAGAATTCAAATTTTGGTACAAAGATGGAAAGTGTTTCAATGGAGGTTTATGGAAAATCTTAAGCATGAATGCAAGGCATTATTGGCCATAATTCTTATCAAAACACATTACATAACATGTATACAAGTGATCACAAGGACATACACGAAAAAAGAAGCTCCCAAATTGCAAAACACATTTCAAAAAAATTTCAAGCAAAGAGCAAAACTGTAAACCTCCTTACAACGCCTCTCAAGTCCCAATTCCCATCCAAACATATTCCTGATATCCTTAGGAAGCTTTGGCAATCAAAAACAAGCATAATCACTCAAGAAATCGTGCCTTAGACCTCCTCCGGTTTGCTTCATTTTTTCAAATTGTATATCATATTTCATAAGCAATTAACCCATTTTCTTTGTTGTTTTGTGTTGCTAGGGGCTTTCTAAAGCTAGTAGATTGATCCAATTGCATTTTAACGCATCATAGCATGATTCACCATTGAAATATTTTAGGGTTTCTCAAGCTTCAAATTGGGGATTTCCCCATATGGTAAAATTAGGACATCAAACTGCCATGGTTGGAATCGTGACATCCAAACGAACATAACAGACCCATCGCGCTCAATTTATGGTCAACCATGGCCTAATCGTTTTTTTTACAGGTTGCATTTTGGGGGGGTTTAAAACCCCCGCTATCTCTTTTGTTACAGGGGCAAACGGAGAAGAAGGTTGGCGTGGCAAGACTTGAATGGAGGGTTCAAACCGCGCGCGCAATTTTTTTTGTTTTATATCAATTAACGTTATTTCTTACATATTATTTGTTTTCCATTCCATGTACAAAACGCGCAAACAGCTCAATTGGTAGGCAAGTGACTTGGTAAACACTGGGACCTGGGTTCGAATCCCAGGTCCCCTTAAATTATTTCTATTATTTTGTTTAACCCTTTCCCATGCAGTGCATCATTAAGTGATCCATCATACACCCAGCGTTTGTGCTTGCCATGTGTCTCTAATGGTCAATCCAGTGGCTATTACCAGCCATCCACTATACGCATCAGTCAAACGTTCTCCACATGATTCAAAAAGTCAGCAAAGGGCCTCCTTCTGTTGGGCCAAAATTCATCAAGCCACCTCCTCAATTGGGGTCAACACCCCCATGGTTTGCATATAGCTTTCTTTTTTTTTATTTATTTATTTATGTGTTTTATTTATTTTAATTAATTCATCAAAAACAATTTTCATAAAAACCAAAAAAATCAGAAAAAATCATAAAATAAAAATATGTTTTATTTAATTTAATTCATCAACATTTTTGTAAATAAATTTCGTAATCAATTTAGTTTTAATTTTAGGTTTTAACTTTAATGTTTTTTTCTTAAAATAATTAAAAACATAAAAATAGGTCTTTTATCCTTTTTTATTCTTTCTTCTTAATAAATAATCTTTTGTTCTTGTCACTATTAATTATTAATTATTTTTGTAAATAACTTATAATTAATTAATTAGGGTAAATTAGGTTACAACTTAAACATCTTTTTTTTTTATAATTAAAAACAATTTAGAATTAGGATTTCTTTCAACATTAATTTCCTTTATTCTCATTAAATTTCATAAATATAAAAAAAACATAAAAAAATAAGTCCTTTCCTTTATTTAATTTAATTAATTTAATAATTTCAATTTAACTCCTTTAAAGGGTTCAACGCCCTCGCATTCGATTACATTTTTGTTTTGCGCGTTTTATTTATTTCTTGTTGTAAATATAATGTACTTGCTCCAAAGCCCTGTAATAGTTAATTAGGCATTTATTTTCTGCAATTTATTTTAAATCGGGTCTGGATTAATTTGGCGTTGTAGACCCGCGGCTTTGTAA